GTTTGTCAGTTTACTTTGTTGTGTTAGTCGCACATGTTCGAAATAAAAAGAAGAGAAGATCTATATCCATGCGGTGACTTCCTACGGGTAAGAGTCCATTTACATAGTGCTGAATGTTCATTTTGATGAGTTATGATGGTTAGTTAATGCCTGTGTTTGGATATCATAATGTTAAGTTTGGTATTTTTATGCAAAATAAAGACGTTGAAGTTATTATGTAATAATATTTTCATTAAAGGTACATTTTACATTCACCAGTGTAGATTTTTTTTTAAAGTTGCTCCAAGCTTTCTGGCATTTGTGAATAAATCCTTAAGACAACTGGAAAAGAAAAGTGCCTTAAGACTCTCCAAACTACCTATACCTTAATATTTATATCCCCCTTAAGTTAACTTTTATTTGAGATGTTTGGGGGTTTGATTAGTGTATGTCTGTAGATAGATTCTTTTTCCTTTTATCTCTATTTTCTGTTAATATATACTGCTTGGATTGATTTATAGTTAGGTATACTTAGCATCCATATTCATTGATGGTGAATGTTTGTTACTTGACAAAGTTTAATAAAGTAAAAAAAAAACAGCAAAAAATATGAATATAAATAAATAAAATGTATTAAAAAATGGTGACACACACTGTTTTTTAAAGCGTTTATTTATTTTGGTATGTTTTTATTGGATGCTTGTTCACATAGTGGTGATATGCTAATATGCAGAATCCCCCGGACATTTCTTTGCATATTTCTGTACAGCTCAATGTTCGGCCATATTGTCAATATTCAAACATGGTGATAATTATCATGCTGATAATGAATCATAATAACCTGGAATATAATAAATATTTAATATCCCCAGAGACTTTTGATTCACTCTGTGTCATTTGGTTTTTGGTAATTTGATTACTATAATTGCAAATGTGTTACAATTACACATAAATAAACATTTTCACCACTAAAATACTATATGAGAATTCCAAGTCTTGATTATCTTGGCAAAAATAAATGCAATACACGATATTATAATCATATAATCATGGAAGTATACTTCATTCCCTTAACATACTGGAATCTATTGCACAACAGACAGGAACCTAATTTCCCTGTTCTTTATTTTGAAATTCATGCTATTTCCACACATCATGTTTAACTTTTGTTTCGTGTGGGATACAACGTGCAAGCCGAGCCTTCAGCCATGGTGACAGGGTTAGGATTTTGGGATGCCTGGAAAGATGTGGGCTCCCCCTGGTCCCCTTGTTCAGAATAAATCAGGATAGAGTAGATACATAGATAGATAAAGAAGAAGATAGATAGATAGATAGTTTATTTATCCCAAGGGAAATTCAATGTTCAATGTATGCTGGAGAGCTAGACAGCTTATCCAGGTCAAACCATGTGAGGATATTCACAATTATCCTGATTCATGATTATCACTTTAATGGAAATTCACAACTATAAATGTATCTCGGTGTTTTTTATCGTGATTATCGTGACTTCTATGATCCCTTCATTATGACCAAGTCTTGTAGCCTAACTGTCCTGTTTTCAAAATCTAGTTTAAAGACTTTAATTATTTTCATTTAGGCCTGTATTGGTTTGGCATGGTCCACATTAAAGTTGTGTTTAATCAAATTACCACCATCTGGCCCCAGAAAACCTGGTTGTACTTTATAAGAACCTGGAGGAATTGGAGTATTCACAAAATATTACCAGTGAGTGAAAAGTGTGTAGCAGTATTTCCTGGACTTCCTGGAACAGAGGCAGGTAGAATTTGAATATTTTGGACTTATGCAAACCACACCTGTTTGTTTTACTGTGATAAGTAAATGAACTCTTGATGTTATTTTGGTATTTGAATCCTCTCTCAGTTCAGTATAATCAAATTAGATATGTCCCACTACTGTAACTAGGACGTAAATAATGTTGAATGAACTGGCTCCACAGTCTCTCACAGTGAGACATTGTTCTTCTCAGCAAAACAGCATTTGGAATTCTGCATAAAACACCTTTTACACATACATTTTACATGGTTTCATTCATGTCCAGTGGGTCAAAATACATTATTAGAAGGTAAATCTCATTACTAAACGCTATACAGAAAATGTGTAGCCTCATGCTGGAAGAGTTTCACATGACCTTTAGAGTTTGAGGTAGTAAATGTTCTCTTCTGTTCAACAACAAGTGGCCATGTGGCATTCATAGACACAATATTTATTTTTGCTCATAATACATGGTTGTAAATACCAATACGCTAGTTTTAAATAATGTCGAAGTAAAAGCTGTTGCTTAGGGCCCCGAAGTCACTGATTCTTCTGATTTTATCAGTCACTTCCGAGAAACAAAGATGGAAAAAGTTATTCCTTTATTCCTTATAATTAATGAACACACAAAAATGTGTCACTGATTCTGAAACAGCTCTAGTAGTTTATTTCTGGCTTCGTCAACAAGAAACAATCATACATTTTTCTTCTTGAAGGGATTAACCATAATGGGAGTACATATTTCCCCTTCATTACACCTAGCTGGATCAGATCTGGTTACAGACATAACAGGTTTTTACCAACTGGTTTTACTCTGAAGCCTTGCCCCTGAGAGACCTTGATTTCACCTGACTCACTTAAAAAAAAATGAATGCTTCTCTGCAAGACTAGAAAATAGTCAGTCTGTCCGAGTGGTACAGTCTCCTTGAAACTTCCCTCAGTCTGCTTTTAGTGAGTTCAGATGACTGCAGCCACGGGGTTTCCATTCATCCCCCTTAATCAGCTGCATGGATGTCTGTTTAGGGTTATCTGTAATTTGCGCACAGCTCCAGCCCTCGCGCTTTTTTTTATTCTCTTTTAAAATGTGCTACATGTGACTGTGGACTCCAATAAACACCGGTGGTGATATATGAAATGCCAAACAACATTTTTCTACTTAACTGTAATTAGTGGCAGTTAGTCTCTTCCTTGAGCCCCTCCCTCCCTTTCCGGGTTACATCTCCGGGCGACGCGCTGTTCTCTCTTCACCGATAAGCACACATGCATGTGCAAGTAGCGGGCTGCAGCTCAGAGCGTGTTGTACTTCTTCACACTCTATATGCTTTGAATAACCATGTGGCAAATTAAATCTCGGACTGCGATTAATGGAGAGCTGCTTCAAGTGGAGTTTGTCAACAGATATTGCACCAGTCGTGCGTAAAAATTGGACTGGCACATTTCTCCTGACGTCGGTGAGTTGCTTTTTTTTCTTTTGAAAAAGATTCATTATAACGAACAGAAACAGGTGTATGAAATCTGAATGTATCGACGTTTTAATAACTTTAAGGGTGTGACTTGGTGAAGCGGTTTGCCAGGCGTTTGGCGGACCGGTACCCGCGTATGGAGCAAGGTGAGTGTGAATAATTGGGCTATTATTCAGTGTGTATTAATCGGTAACGCAATGTATAGCGCAATTCTTCTTTTACACTGGTGTAAACAAGATGTGAAGTTAAGGAATAAGGTACCATTCTGGGGACTTTATTTAGAATTTATACTGTTGGCTTTTTTTAACTCGGGGTGCAAAATAAGAGCTGCTGAGCTACAAAGGTCACCCAAAAGTGGAGAAAGGTGGGGTAATTCTATAGCTTTTTGTAAACCTGCTGTAATTTATTTCAAAATTTCCATATAGTACTACTACACTGGAGGGGTACAAACGATAACAAAATGAGGATAGACGAACTACATAACAGAAGTCCAAGGAAAAGACTTTTGTCAGGAACATGTAGGCCTATATGTTACTGTATATGTTTGTATGGTAGGCCTGTACAACCTTGTAGTTAGGTGGATTGACACTGTTGTTACAGTGTTCAGAGTTCATGGAGTAAAGCTTTCCTCTGATGAGGTTTTTAAATTAAATAACTATAGTAATAATAATAATAATTGATAATTAGCTAACCTGAAAACAAGTTCATCTATCAGTCAATAGAAGCTGTAAAAGATGATTGATTTTATGTCCTCTGATAGTCCAACAGGGCACGAACACAGTATAATAGAATAATAAACTTTATTTATGAATATGTGTGCAGCATGAAGGAACTTCAGTCTTTCATTTAATTTTAGAACCTTGTGTTGTATAATGATACATACATGTCCTTGATTCCTTAAAAACAATGCTATAAAGTGCTTTACATGGTTGAACCAGGGTTTAAAACGTTTCAGGAGACAAAAAAGTCAAATAAAATCAGAAAATTAAAATGATACAGAAGTGAGGTGGACAATGGCAGATCCAGAGGGGTTAAAATTGGGGTAAAAAGTGGCCTGGCTACCCTAGTTTGGTATCAAATACCAAATTTAACACATTAATTTAGATTCTTTTTAAAAAATAACTTGTTAAAAAAGGCTCAAAAATATGACAATGTATTGCCAATGTATGTAAGGCCAGCTTTAGACATGTCTATACAATGCTTTACTAATGTGCCACAATGATGTAATGTGACACCACCCTCTGGCCACAAATATTTTTCTAGATCCAATAAATCCATAAATACTAACAATACGATAAAATATCTACTGCAGATTAACTGCACTGCACTGGCAATTCAAAAATACAATAAAATACCTAACACTAATAAAGGATAAAAAACTATAATAATAATAAAATAGATAGGACAAGGTAGAAATAAAAGTGTGCTAGAATAAATAAAAGGCATTTTTGAAAAGATATATGAGTTACTGTAAAAGATGTCACTGATTCAGAAATGGTACGCTGTGAGACACTTTATGACTCTCAAACTCAGCATGTCCCAACTGTAAACTAACTTCAAACCACCGAGCACACCTGTTGCCAAAACAGCTGATAGTTATAAAAAACGTCTCTATAGCAACCCTTGACAACAGCTCCATGTGTGCAGCTCTCAGTTAGGGTCACACTCATATTGGAAATATATCATATTGAAAGTAATTAAAAGGACTTCTTTTTTGTGGTTATTCCATAACTTCACATCTTGTTCTTGTGTAGGTTGCACCTACATGTACGTATCGGCTCGTACTGTACAGGTACACCGTTAGTACAATTAATTATTCATATTTAATTAAATTGGAATTAAACTGGGAAGAATTACGCTGTGTGTTGCAGGCTGCAATCTAATCCACACGTGGTTTCCAGGTCTCATGTTAAACCGCTTAATAAAACTAAGTTTTGGTTTCTGTTTCCCGCCCATGCCCCCCCCCCTTCCCCACAGAATGAATAAAGGATGTTCATTGCTGAGACTGAGAAGCAAGTTCTTTCCTTCGTTCCTGTCACTGCTGACTCTGTGTGCCTTGCTATTAATCAGAGTGAAGTACATCAACGAAACAGAACCTTCCCCGGCAGTTCAAGATGACATCCAGACATTTAACAAATACAATATTAACTGTTTGGCTATATATGACATGGACCCAGTGGAGGTGGGTAAATCGCTGATCATCAGAAGGAACAAGGTGGTGGAGGACAAGGATGAAAGCCTGGTTAACCTCACCTCAAACTGCCCGTGGTTCATCAAGTCCAGGGGGTATGATGACGTGTGTGTCTCAGAGGAGGAGAAAGACTTTCCTCTCGCTTACTCACTGGTTGTGCATAAATCTGCATGGATGGTAGAGAGACTCATCAAAGCGCTGTACTCGCCCAGCAATATCTACTGTCTCCACTATGATCAAAAGTCTTCAGCTCAGTTCATCGCAGCCATGGAGGGTTTAGCCCACTGTTTGCCCAATGTCTTTATCGCCTCCAAGCGAGAGAATGTCTTTTATGCGAGCATCAGTCGATTGAAAGCTGATCTCAACTGTCTGTCCGACCTTTTGGGGTCAGAAGTCAAGTGGAAGTACGTCATCAACCTCTGTGGTCAGGATTTCCCCCTCAAGTCTAATATCGAGCTTGTGTCAGAACTGAAGAAGTTAAAGGGAGCTAATATGCTGGAGACAAGCCGCCCCACTGATGCCAAGAAGCAGAGGTTCACCTTTCACTACGAGCTGAGAGATGTCAGCTTTGAATATCAGAAACTGCCAGTGAAAACGGAGCAGGTGAAGCCACCGCCACCACACGGTATCGAGATGTTCATCGGGAATGCCTACTTTGTCTTGTCACGGGACTTCGTGGTGCACATAGACTCCTCGGAGGTGGTGAAAGATTTTCTGGCCTGGTCAGAGGACACTTACTCCCCAGATGAACACTTCTGGGCCACACTTGTGCGACTGGAAGGTGTACCCAGTGGGGTGCACAGATCCCAGCCTGATATCACTGACCTGATGAGTAAGACCAGGCTGGTGAAGTGGCAATACCTGGAGGAGAACCTATACCCACCGTGCTCAGGGGAACACGTTCGTAGCGTTTGTATTTTTGGGGCACCAGAACTGCGTTGGTTACTTAACTATGGGCACTGGTTCGCCAATAAGTTTGACCCCAAAGTGGACCCCATTCTCATTCAGTGCCTTGAGGAGAAGCTGGAGGAAAAACAAAGATTATTCCAGTCAGTGGCATCTAATACATGTCGTAAGGGTTAACCCAGGGCTGCAGTATACTGTACTGTGTCATCAGCAGAAAACGAATCTGCAACAATCTTAATAATGGTTTAAAGGTTCCATATGTAATGTGAGTTAAGAGAGGCATTTTTATGTATTATTTTTTTTATTGACAAAGAGTCTTTCCCAACTTTCTCACTTTATCTGGCTTAACGTTAGTTCGCTTGCTAACGTAGTTTTCTCTAGTTTTATAAAGCAAACAATTGATTGATAATGAAAATAATCGCTAGTAGCAGGCAACCAGTGATTAAATATGTTCACGATAGTTTCTCGGGATATTCAGTTTACTGTCATAGAGGACTAATAACACTAGAAAATATTCACATTAAAGAAGCTGAATTCAGAGAATTTGGACATTTTTTCTTCAGATATCAATTGATCAATTATCAAAATAGTTGCTGATTAATTTAATAGTTGAATGGTTGAATCATTGCAGCTCTACCAGCTACAATATGTAGGCTAATATTTAGTAGCAAAACTATGTTTATTAACACATTATATAAATCATTTATTTTCTACTGACATTCAGTCTCACTTCAGCCAGTTTCAGAGGCTTTAATCATTTTTGAGCATTTTAAAAGTCAACGTGAATGTGGTTCCAGCATTTTCTATCATAAATACCTGTCACCTTAAACGGTCACTTCTCAAGACATCCTCACTTACCTCTAGTGGTGCGTGTAGGCATAACCACGCACATTTTGGTTTATTTGAGCAGATGTTGAGAAATTCGATGAGTGGAATTTTGTATGTGGCGCTCAGCAATTACAAATGTCTCTAAAAAAAATCATCAGCAATGTGTCTTTCCATAAACAATGTTACTCAGGACGATCCAGACAGCTAACTGTGAACACTATTCATCAGAAGAAAAAACACATTTTATATCCAGTTCTTCTGATGTACAGTTTTAGGAGAATCTAAACTAAAATGTTACTATAAATAATGATGTATGTGTATTTGCGCCAAATGTAAACTGAAGAATGTATTGTTTGCTTTGGTATGATGTAGTACTTAAAGAAACAGAACAAAACACAGAAGCAGGCATTGATGAATGAATTGGTTTAGGAAATTGAAGACAACTGTAGCTGGTGGATGGTGACAATTCAAAAGAAACAATACATACACACCATAAAGATATATTGTGGTATTTATTTATTACATTTAGCTTACAAGCTGTATTAAAAAAAACTGTTGGGGACAAAGATTGGTGAGATATTTTAGAGAAACTGCTCCGGTTTAACATCACTCAATGTTTCCTGCAATTGTGTTAAATTAACAATAGTACTAAAATAGTGCATTGCAATGTTTGTTTATTTAACTTCAAGTAAATTTGGGAAACTGAAGTTGTTCACAGTAGCACCGGGGAATGTAGTGCAACAAGTAAGAAAATATAGGTTAATATAAAAAATGAAATCCAACAAATACTAAAATAAAGCTGGTGTACAAGATAAGCAATGGCCTTGCAGTGGGCACTGTTGGGGATGAGTGAACGACATGGAATTAAAGCAGTAATTTATTTACGTTTTGCAGTAGCTTGCTGGTAGTTCTTACACAGTGATGGAATATTTTATTTATTTTACTTTACCATTGCTTCTCTAACTGACATTTCTTGTACTTTCCCATGGATAGTGGGGTATTTTTAATTTTTTTTGTAAGGGAGCACTTTTTGCATTATTTTGTATTATTTAAATACAAAAACCAACCTTGCAACTTTGGGACTACCGTCCCGGTTAATTGGACATTTAGAAACACAGACTGCCATCTATTGTAGAATAAAGTACCTCTTACAATCACACTTCAAAAACCCTGAACCATCCCTTCCTGACATAAGACATATAAAAAAAAAGTATGTATAAATAACCAGCCTTCTGAGACTTCAGTGTACAGTGGTAATGAGCATTATGTGAACTCTTTTGCTAAAGTCAACAATTGAGAAGTCATCTGTGTTCAATTACAATGCCATTACAACACAGGAAAAATGTGACTGATAAGCATACAATGAAATATTGTTTTGGCGTTACAGATTATCAGCAAAAGCGGAAGGACTCAAAATATTATTCAAATAGTATTTAAACATAGTCAATAGAGGAGGGAAGGACAGTGTCTCGTCATAAAGTGCAGTTCTACTTCTGCCTGTGTATTGTGAAGCTATCTTCAAAGACAAAATAGTAGTGCCAGTAAACAGAAATGTGTTGAAAGATAAGGCTCTTCCCTTTAACATCTAACTACCTTAATTATCTGCACGCTGTAAAACTAAGATATGTCTAAAAATATGTTTAGACATTGAGAGTTGCTACAAGAAGAAGACATGATTAATAGGTTGAGGACTGACTGAGTGGCTCCATTGTGTTGAAGTGCAGATTGAAGAATGCAGTATACAGTAGGAAGATGTTACACAGTGCCAGTTTGTGTCCCCCTGTTAACATAAATTAGGAGGAAATCCAACCTGTAAGTATTAGCTTATACACAAGGGTGTTTGTTAGCACCTCTCTATCACATCCTGAATGTCATTAACTTCAGAGCTTCCTCTTCACCTCTGTAACTAAGTTACAGAACACGTAGCACTCAGGGTTATTACGTTCCAGTAAATTATTAATTTTGTGGCCATTTCCAGTTAGTGTACGTGTGAGTGAGCAACATAACATGAGAACATGACACCTGTGCATACCAGTAATAGTAGCTACAGGTGTTTGTCTTTGGTTTTGCTCCACAGTGAGCTGGGGACTGAAGGATGGCTATTTTACTGCTGTGTCATTTTAACTACTTTATATACTGTTGGGTAGTTTAATCTACAGCAATGCATCATAGTCTATAAAATCATCATAGGTGGGAACCACGTATCTTTAAATCAACTTTTTATAAACTCAGTGACGATGCATTTTCCTGCTAAACCAAAATAAGAAGTTTAATAAGAACAATTTTCTCAACCCGCATAGGAACTTAATCCTTCAGTGTTTTGCTTTTCTTTTTTTAAGAAAAGGTAAAAATCAACACATTTGGAGATACTGCACAGTAGGGTTATGGAAAATTGTAATCTGAAAAGTAATAAAGCTGGTATAAAGTTGCATAAAATGAAAATAATTTGCACTTAGGTACAGTGCTTGAATAAATGTACTTGTTGCATTCCACCACTGGTATTTTTAGAGTGTGGGTAGCAAACAGAACAATAGGACAAAATGTCAGAGTAAACAACCCAGTGCAGAGACAAAAGAAGGAAGCTCAGCGAGCTGTTGTTGTAGCCTGGCTGGTGGTTAGCTCTGCAGCCACAGTAATTTGGCAACCAACACTGTGACAAATCAAAACGTCACACAAACATCTACCACCACATCCTCTTGAATTTCCCTCGGGATATAATTAAGTATCTATCTATCTCTATCTACATAGCATAGATTAAAGTGTCTCTTTCTGGTGTGACCAGGCCTCTAAACTCTTAATAAATAATCCCTCAAGATGTTGTACTGGGGTGTATTCAAGATCATTAGCTAATAGTATTAACACATATGATAAAAGCGGTATGAACACATGTTAAGTTGAAAAGATAACGTGCCTCTTAATTATCACTGAGAAATCCACAGCAGTCGTGTCTGATACTGAAAGAAAGGCAGTATGTTCACAGTTCATCTACAGGCGGTTAGAGGCAGCTCAAGGTGAGAGATGTTTCAAAACTGTTAAGACTACTGTCCCTGAGTGACAGGAAAACAGATGAGTGTTCAGCGGGACTGACTAACTGACTGACTTTCCAAAGTAAAACGCGCCTCAGCTGAATAGATTCAGGCTTTGTAGGGGAAAGCATCATGGTTGCTGGGGAAGATTTGGACAAATTCTGCAGACCCTCCTTTCGCTACTTTACAAAAGAACCTGAGCAACTTGTCTGAGAGACTTCTGTGTACAAGAAGGAATTTCTAAATCACATAATAAAAAATTTCCATCGTTCAAGACGGGGAAAAAATTTAATACGCAACCAAATACAAGATTTGAATGTTGCTCACTGTAGGAAGAAAAGCATTGGTGCAAGTGTTTCTATTTTCACACAGTGAGGATACATACCTTACTAACTTCTGATAATTAATCTTTAAAAGATGTAGTTTTGTTTGAAATAATAAGAACTTTCTGACAAATATTTGTACATGGGTTTTTTGGTAAGGGGCTCTAAGTGTGACTTTTTGACATGGCTGCTTTAAAGGCAGCACTTGACACTTGCTGAGTTGACATTTAGCTCGACATTTCTCATGTAACCACCTAGTTGTGTCAGAGTTGCCATGCAGTCTGCTTGTGAACTTAAGTCTTCTTGTCTTACATATTGCTCATTTAAGCTTTCTTAGCATATTCTTGTGCTTATAGTGGATCTTATGCAGTGTTAGGCAGTAACTAATTACTGCTAATAATATTACTATAGCCCCTAACCCCCAAAAAATTACTTACAACCTTACTTTTGTAGTTATCCCCTACTGATTTGAAATCCAAAAATGAAAACAAATAATTTTTGTAATTTGTAATATATTCCATTGCTTTGATTTTAACAAACAAAACTGGATTTTAATTGTCATAAGTCGGAATTTTGGCGAGAAAGGACACAATATAACCAGCAGTGTAACTACTTACTGTTGGCAGGGAGTAATAGGTAAAATAATAATATTATTTTTTAAAAGAGCAAATAGTAATGAACTACATTTTTGAGTAACTAGCCCAACACTGATCTTGTGTAAACCCTCTTCTGGATCTGCAGAATGTTTTTGGTGTTGAACTCTGGGTTTGTAACATCCACCACAGTATAGTAAGTGCACTTTTCACCTTCCTTTTTGTTTCATATCAAGATATACAAATGAGGGTGTTAGCACCTGCGTTTCCTGCTTTCATCTCTCTCTTTTGATCTTCACTTCAGCACCAGTTGTTTTTCTAAAGCAATCATATTTCTTCCCAAATGTGCCTACGTTAGTGAGTTTTCACTATGAGTCTTCTCTCATTCTTTCTCTACTGATGGCAAATGACGAGGCACAAGTTTCAATACATTTTAAATATTTTAAACATGTATTACATGTCTGTTAGCAGGTATAATGCCTGGGAAGCTGTTTGTGAGTCAAGGACTCTGAGATAAACTTTAAACTGAGATCAAATGTAGCTGCCGTGATTTGCACA